TTCCAATCGCGAAAATGACATTCAATACCTCGCGCATGATTGTCGAACGTTCTATGTATTTCATTCTAAAAAAACTGAACGTCAACAATGCGGCGGCCTTCTGGCACATTTTCCGAAATACGTCCCACATCTACGTGTCCGACGTCTACGACGAGATTGTTGTCGCTATTGTCCAGGATGTTTTGTACAGTGGATCTCTCACTTGTACATTCGCATTGTACGACAGTTTCATCGTTTTTGCGAAGGGCGTTTTCTGATGAGATGCGTCCCACATCTTTATTTTCGCGAAGGGCGTTTTCTGATGAGATGCGTCCCACATCTTTATTTTCGCGAAGGGCATTTTCTGATGAGATGCGTCCCACATCTTTATTTTCGCGAAGGGCGTTTTCTGATAAGATGCGTCCCACATCTTTATTTTCGCGAAGGGCGTTTTCTGATAAGATGCGTCCCACATCTTTATTTTCGCGAAGGGCGTTTTCTGATGAGATGCGCCCCGCATCTTTGGGATCGTTTGAGATAAACGAAGGATCATTATTATGATATTTACAAACTAGTAGGGGGTCTGACATATCTGTCTGACCAACCTCCTTCACATTTTTCGATACACAACGTTTTACCGGGAGAGAATTTCTCTCTTTGACAACTGCAGTAGGTTCAATCGTCGATGCCGACGATTGCCATTGTTTCTGTCGCCTGGAAAGTAGAATGGATGAGGTTAGAAATATTTGTAAATATTTGCACACAAATTACTGAAATGTATTTTGTAAGCACTTACAGTTTTCTATAAGTTCTTTTGTGGGAGAGCCTTCTCCTACCCGGAAACGTCTGATTTGTACGTTTTTTATTTGCCATTTGTGCTTATTTTTTGCACAAATATTGATACAAATTCAATTTTTCAATACGTCTTCTACGTCTAAGAAAGAAGTAGTAGATGGCGGGCCTTTCCCCCACCACGCTACGCAAGTGAAACAAAAACGAAACGCCAACGCTGTGGCGTTTTCCAATTTCCCTGGCAGCGGCAGTTCGAAACGTGCTACGAAGTAGTGATCATCGAAGCAAAAAAATGAATTCGCAAAGCCGCAGTAAGTGTTTCTTTTCATTTTTACTTCCCGAGTGTCATTGACAATTACATTCCGTGAACATTTGTAATAAAAATATTTGTTTCGAAATTTGCTTTGTCTCATATACAGTGGGTCACAAAATTGAACCAAATGACGTGAGGTTTCTCGAGAAGCCATACAAATTAATTTACTAAAATATATGCTTTTATGGACTCAGAATCGACATCTCGCTTGGATATTTGGTGCAATGTTTGGGTTCCAATTCCTGTTGCATATATCCAGGTTTTACTGTATACAGAGATGTATAGATGAAAAGTCGCGATTTTCGGAAATTGAAATTACTTGTAACTTCTAAGTGCATTGATCGATCTCGATGATATTTTCAGTATACACATAACATACTTAAATTTACAAATGTCATATTTTATATTTTCATTGCAAGCTCAGATAAAAAAGTTAAAAAATTGCCCTTTACTATTTTTTTCCCTATTTCGATTATTAGATTATGGGGATTATTATAATAAAATACGCAGTATATTTCAACGTGAAAATACTTTATTTTAAGGCTAGGAAGGACGTCTTCTCTCTATGACGTTTTGACACGAAGTGGCTAGAAAGCCCGTAAGGACAAAGCTAAAAGTCTGTTGCCCACTTAAAGATTCTATAAAGACCAAGACTGCATTCAGTCTGTTACCCAGGCCCTCAGGTATAAACAGTCCTAGGCCTATGGGTCCGTTGACGTCTGGTCCATAAACAAAACATTAAAGCACGCAGTGCTTCTCAAATATACTAAATTTATTTTTGCTTACTTGCTGACGCATTGCAAGTAATCCAACATCGATAAATTGTAATTTTTTAAAACTACAAAAATACATATGTTAATAAACTAATTTGTATAGTTTTTCCAGAAACCTCACGTTATTTGGTCCGATTTTAAATGAGCTATTCTGTTTTAAACGGTGTGCGAATAATTTTGTGTCCCCCTATATATTTCTGCGCTAATTAGTGTGGAGAAAATTTTTGTCTTCCGGAATATTTTTCCATGATACATTGGTTTTCTGTGAACTGGTTTATTCGTATTTTGTAATTCAATACAGTTCAATACATGTAATTGTCAATGAATATTCGTAAATTTCTGGATAAATACATTTGAAATTTCTCTGCAGTACATATTATCCATGTTTTTCAATTTTCTTTTAGAACATACCAAGGGAAAATCAGTGGGAGTGCAACAGTAACCGCAGGCGCTGTTGCAAGCACTCCCAGAAGAGGAACAGGAAATGGAACCGGAGTTGCAACAACAAGTACAGCTGCAGTTGCAACTCCAGCCCCAGCCGGAACTGCAACTGCAACTTCCGCCGCAGCAGCCACAGCTGCAGTATCAGAAAAACCAACAGCCGCAGAGATCGCTGCGTCTGCAGCAACCACCGCAGCTGCTGCCCTTGTTCCAGTTGCAACAACAAATGCAGCATCCGCAGTTGCAGCAAGATTAGAGACCACCTCAACGGACGCCGTTGTTGCGACTGCAGCAGCAAGTTCAGCAGCAGCATTCGCGGGAGATCCAAGAGCTGCGGTCGCAGGTGCAGATGCTGCAGCTGCAGATGCAACAGCTGCTCTGTCCAGTGCCGCAGCAGCAACAGCAACTGCAAGACCAACAGCAACAGCAAGACCAACAGCTGCTCCAGCAGCAGCAGCAGCAGCAACAGCAATACCAACACCAACAGTTGCTCCAGCAGCAGCAGCAGTAGCAACAAAACCAGCAGCTGCACCTGTCGCTGTCTGGTGAGCAAGTATTGCTTCCGCAGCAACCGGTGGTGCCGCTGCAGTTGCAGCATTTGCATCAACAAAGCGTAAGTCGTTTTCTTACGTTCCTGTTTGTACGTTATTTCTGCTATTCATTGTTTATACATAATAACGTAATATTTATTTTTCCAGTCATTGAGAAGTATAGAGCAGCGGATGCTACGACAATGCCGCAGGGCGATGAACCGGCAGCTGCGGGAAGAAAGGGAGCGTCGCGGTCGTGGTCGCGGCCGCGGCTCGGACAGGCAAGCTGGCTACCCGTGCGGCTATATTCCCAATATCCTTGGCACGGGCCACAGTGCCGCTTGCATATGGCGTATGCCGCCAACCGGAGAAGGTAATTGAGGGCAATAGCCGTTAGAAGTGAGTACGACGATAATATATGTATAATATGTAATAATGAAAGATAATATACAAATATGATTTTTTTGATTTCAGGAACTATTATTATTTATAATTATTATTACGATTATTATTATTATTATTATTATTATGATTTTTTTACTACCACTACTACTACTACTATTACTATTATTGTTGTTGTTATTATTATTATTATTATATTTATTATTACTATTGTTATTATCATTATTAGGTCTAATTATAACATTTTCCGCTAGTAACGTTCTTGTCATTTATTCTCCTATTCCTTATCCTGTGTACTGACGATGTACACATACGATTTCCTAAATCCTTAGTTTTTGAAATATAATGAAAAATATCAGCAGACATTCGTGCGATTTATGCGTCTTTCTCCGTTCCATTATTATTTAAACATATTTACATGTCTATAATGTAATAACAATTTAGATCATTTTTCTCGATAGAGTCTACAGAATTATTACGTCGAGAAAGGACCTGAATATCTGCTACTGTAAAAGCATAAATCATTTCCAAAATTGAATACTTGCAATTTTTCTAACAAGATTGATTATCTAAAAAACTATACAAGTTAGATAAAAATGGTTTGCAGATTCGGATTCAGCATACAAAAATTTATAACTCACTTATTAAAAGTTACAAAATGAAATAACTCTTGCAATTTATCAAACGTTGTTGAAAGTGGATGATTTTCGCTGTGAGGTTTATTTCGGATACGATCCTATTTGCAATGCTATATCTCGATTATTATTCAACTAAATCTTTTGCTTTTTGACTATATTAGATAATTATGTATGTACAATAATTTGATATGCATAATCAGTGTATTTTCTTTGTAGTTATTGTTTATATACAGTTCGTTGCGGGTGGACGATTTTCGCTGCGAGTGCCCGAAGATGGATACATTGACGATTTCCTTTAGAAGGATAAACCAACCTTAGGCATTCGATTTATAGGAATTCGGAGAACAATATCGGGACATATTATTTTAAAAAAAAGTAACCTTAGGCACTCGATTTATAGGAATTCGGGGAATAATATCGGGACATATTATTTTTTTTAAAAAGTAACCTTAGGCACTCGATTTATAGGAATTCGGAGTACAATATCGGGACATATTATTTAAAAAAAAACTAACTTTAGACATTCAATTTGTAGGAATATTCTTCCCTTGGTTATTTTATATTACAAAAAATGTATATATAACATTTGCCTAAAGGAGTTAGGTTCATATATTTCCTAGGTCATGTGTGCAGTATCGTATTTTATACTTTGCTGCAACGCATATAGTAGAGCTATCGTAGCATCCGTGTGTCATTTAGGTGTATGCGAAAAGTGATGCAGCATAGCATGACGTTAGTTGGATGCAATAATTCAGGTGGCGTTGAAATCAGTTTCTGTTCGGCCTAATTTTCGATGAAACTTTGACTGTTTTACCGACGCGGAATTCAAAGTTCGAGCTCCACGCTAGCATCACCTTAATATCATTTCAGATTCGACTTAGCAATGCAATATTTCAATACAACTGTTCTACTCGTTTGAGACAAATTCAAGATTTGTAAACACAATACAAGCACTATAATAAAATAGATAAAAGTAAATAGTGAAATAGAAACTGTGTTACAAATTATTTTTTTTATAAATTGTTACTTGGTAAAACTATTTATTTGAAAGTAGAAGAAAACAATGTGAATTGTAACTTAAATTCGATGTTACGGAAATTAGAATAGGAAATTAAAGTTTAAGGGATTCATCTACTTCTATTAAACTATTTATTTGAAATATGCTGGTATTACATTGTTTTTAAAGTCTGTGACGTGCAAGACAAACTTATCTAATTTAATACTGCTCTTGCTTGAATAATTTCTCCACTGTGTCCATTTAATACTTCCACTCTATAATATCTCTGTTGCAATTTTCCCCTCCATGTCTGATCAAACGCTGAAAATGAAGGAAAAAAAATCATATTATTATACAGGGTGTTTCGTTTAAAACAGGCCACCTAAATATCTCCTCTATCTCTGAAAATACAAAAAATGTTTCTGACGTAATCTAAATGGTTTCAAAAGACAAATCAGATAGAAGAACCGTTTTTTATAAATTGTAATTTTTTAATCGTTTTTTTTGAGGTCACTCGTGTTTAAATTTTAGAGTCCACGGTCACTTCAAGGTCGTGCTATTAAACATGGATGAATGCACAATAATATTTGCTATAACATACAACAACAAAAAATGTGTGTACATACGTAAAAAACACGAGTGACCTAGAAAAAACGATTAAAAAATTACAATTTATAAAAAACGATCCTTCCATCTGATTTGTCTTTTGAAACCATTTAGATTACGTCAGTAACATTTTTTGTATTTTCAGAGATAGAGGGGCTATTTAGGTGGCCTGTTTTAAACGAAACACCCTGTATATTGATACATTGTACTCAACAACATTAATTTGGAATAAAGAATGTATTGAAGAAAATAAGGTTTAATATTTCTTTTACCTTAAACATATTTCCAGATATATCATGCGAGAAAGTAATTGCATCTATTTTCAGAATACGTCTTTGTTATTTGTCCTAGTATTTCATTCCACACTGTTCAATTTCTGTAATGTAACTATTCAACTTTTCTACTCCATAATTTTTTGGTTGTAATTTCCTCATCAATGTCTGAATAAATACTGAAAATATAGAAAAAGAAATCATATGTTACGTCCCACCTTATAGGTGGTTATTCTACTATTACTATGTTCTGGGTTCTGCCGATCAAAACGCTAAAGCGTACCTTGACCTTCCTTGCAGGTAGTGTAGGAGTACAGGATGGAGTGTTCAATTATTAAAGATAGACATGTATGGGTCTTCAATAGATATATATATATTCTGTCCCTGTTGTTACATACCCTTCGCCGACTTCGGGTGTTGTTCGTCGCTCGTTCGTTCTCGTATTCACTCGATGGTCATTCACACTGAGGGTCTCGGTTTTCGCTTGCTTCGCGGTTCGGACGATACACTAGACTCGCGACGCGTGGCTACGACTCGACCTTGGAGATACAAGCGGTTGGTGGTGGTCCTGCACAGCACACGGGTGCACTCCTGGACTTGGTCCAATTATGGGTCTGTTATCTCAGACCACGGCGATACACTCGTGTTGAACCGTCGGCCGAGCACTTCGTCGATGATCTTCCTGGTTTCGAGTTTAGCCTTACTCGCGGATCTACTGCGGGTCGCGAACGGACAGAACTTCGTCTCTGCTTTACGCTATCACGGAACTGGCGTACCTGCGTTGTGGCGATAACTTATACTCCCAAAAGGGGAGTAGGTCACGCTCTTTGCTTGCGAAAACCTGCAAGCAAAGGGTTTTCGCCATCGCATTCCGCGAGTTCCCCGATTTCGTATCGCGGGCGTCGCTAAGCGAAAAAACGCTGATGTTACGCGGATTCCAAAGCGAGACCTCCTTGAAATGGCGAAAGACGAAAATGGGTTATAACTAGGGACGTAACACCCCCCACGCTAGACACAAAATGCTCTCGAGAGTGCATCTTGTGTAAGGTGTTTACGTCGTTCGCCACCCTCATACGCTCAATCATGCATTCACAGAGTATAAATAATGGTGAAAATCTGTACAATAAAAGGTAGCTGTTCAAAATACAAAGAAAAAGGTGCCGAAGATACTACAACGATGCGCAGCTGTTGAAAATATAAAGAAAAGAAAATATGTGTATGAAGTGTCGCAGATATGTACAGTTTTGTAAAGTGTAAAAATTTTATTTTTTTTTTTTTTTTTTTTTTTTTATGTGGTGGCCACGGGGCACACTCCCCCCCACGCTAGACAGTCGATAATTTTGAAATTGGTGCCGAGTGAAAAAAATCTACGTGACCATAAAAGGATTGATTTTGGAGTGTGGTGTCTACGGATACGCTGAATTAGACATTCCACGGTGGCTATTGAAAAATTGTCGATGTGGCTCTAATCGTTGCTATGCTCCCGGCAAACCCGGTGTGGACTTAGTGGTATATATACTGGTCGGTCGAGCGGTGTCAGTATTTGAAAATTTGCTTTACTGTCGAGATGTATGCTTGCATTGATTTGTTTCCGTCCATGCGGGAGTTGTTCCGTACCTGGGTAAGTGGTTTGCAGTCTTATTATGTTTCCTCTCTCTCTCTCTCTCCCCCTTTTTTTTTTTTTTTTTTTTTTTTTTTTTTTTCAATAGATCTTGGTGTTTTGTTGTAGCGGACAGATGGGACGTACGAGATCTATCCGGGCCAAATTAATATCCGGTACCGGAAGGCGGTCCAGCGATGGCGAAAAGAATACCGCCAGTACCTTTTTGATTTATGGGACTGGGATGAGGACCACATGTTAAACATCGCACCCCTTTTCGGCGACTTGTAATTTAGTTAAAAAATATATGTGTCTAATCATCTGAGTTTGTCTTTATTTTCTTTTATTTGTCCTTTTGTTCGTTCCAATCCTCATTGTTAGTAAAAAAGGATTGTTTTGGTCTTGAAGGTGGGATTTGTTGTTCCATCTTGTTGTTGCGTTTCTGGTGAGTCTGCTATTTGCAGATCTGAGGGCCACGACGTTGGGGTGACGGTCGGTCGGCTCTGCATTTCGATGTCTTCTGGCGTGAATTGGCGGCGTCTGGGTTGGTTGTCGATCCTGGTTTGTTTTCTGTAGTATCGGTATCCTATTACCGCTGTTATTATTGCAATAACAACGCTTATGGCTGATAATGAACCGTAGGTGACGTAGGCCGTGTGGGTTAGAGCCCGGTGGTGTTGTGCTATATCCTGCGCTTGATTGTCTATTTCTTGCAAGGTTAAGAGGTTGTCTGGGTCTATATTGATAGGTGTGAATTTTGGCTGATTTTCTTGGAGTTTTGTCAGGATTTGAATATGGTGTGGGGTTAAATCTGGGATGAGGTTCGATATATTGAGGCCGAAACTTGGTTTGAATGTGTAGTTGTATTTCTGGGTTTTTATTCCGGATGCCATGATTCTGGTGTGATCGATGGTTGCCTCGCAGTGGCTTTGCAGCTGTATTATTCCTGCACCCTGTATTTGTTCGTAACCGGCCGATCTTTTATTGCATTTGATTTGGATTGCTTCTTTGTGTTGGATCGAAAATAGCCAGGTATTGGGAGCTTCCAGCTTCGTAATTTGGATGTTGTTTGCTGGAGCCGCTTTCACATTGCATTGCTTCCACTGTAGGTGTTCCGGACGCAAGATGAGGTCAATTTCACAGATATGACTTTGCTCATAGTTTTGGAGCGGGAGCGTGGTTTCACAGAGGAGTCTTCCATTAGGGTTTTTGCAGGTTTTGAGGTAGGTTTTGTCAGGGGAGAAAAAGGTAGTAGTAGTTTGGTCTATTGCAAGGAAGTCTGTTTGTGGTTGGATCATCAGAGGGGTGGAAGTATTTGCATTAAGTTGTTGGAAAGAAGGACAGGGATATAGGTGGTATAGTTCGTAGGAATTGGGTTCTAGGAGAGGAAAGTCTATCGTGATGATTACTCTTCCTTTTGCGTATACGGCACTCATTGTTGTCGTGCCCTGAAGTTGCTCCGATCTCAACTCTTCCATTGAGAGCGGGAATTCCAGATTTGTAGAAGTTTGGATGGTTTGGCATGCTGTGATTAGTTGGTCCGGTGATAGGATCATTGGATGTAGGATTCCCAATTTTGCGAACATTACGGCGTCAGTCAGGGTGGATAGCATTAGTACGTATTCGTCCGTTTGACGGGTCAATCGGGTTCCCCAGGAGGACATAGCTAGTTCTAATTCTAATTGGTCTTCTCTTTTACCAATTTCTGATGTTTTAGAGAGCATGTGTTCGATTCTAGCATTCATTGTGGTTGCCGATTTAGAAAGAGTGTTCAGCGTATCGTAGGCTTTTCGGAATTCGGATTTAATTACGTGAGTCTGATTGTGAATTAGAGAAGTTATTTGTTTTTGGTCGTTATAAATTTTATCGATTTCGCGGTTATAATATTCGGCGTCGGTTTCGTCGAGTGTTCCGAACAAAGTTTTGCTGATCGAGCCGATGAATCCGAGAGGGGCTCGTCTTACTCTAACCGCATTCTTTCCGAGCGCGTGTGCTAATAAATTTTCGTAACGTACTGCCTCCGCGAGTTTTCTATCTAATTCTTCTTTCAGGGTGTCCGCGGGGCATGATGTAATGTTTTGGCTTTTGCACATGGTCTTCATGCGGTTTACTGCGAAGATGGTGTCTGGGCGGCTGGTTAGGATTTCCGTTACGTCCAGGGCTGTGACTAGTCTCCACGTTGTCCGGAACGTGCGGATAGGGGCTAGTTTTTCGGGGTATAGTCCGGGGTTGTTCCTTAGACGTGTAACGGAGTAGTCACCTTCCATATGGTTTGCAGTCACGAACTGGATCGAGGCGATGTTTAGTAGCAGGTACCAGGGGCCATGTTGGTTCGGTTGACCTATCTAGTATTTTATGGGCATAGGTCAACTGTTAGTTGGATACAGGATTTCCTAAAATAAATACCTTTTACTCAGGTGGGGTCGAAAGGGGGAGGTTTCCAGGTGGTATCGTGTTTGTTTTCAAGATTTCTCGAATGTGCAAGTTTTAGTTTATTAAGGTGTTTTGCGAATTTTCTTCCCTGTTCGTCCGTGAGAATTGCGTTGTTATTTTCTGTTATTTCACAGATTTTGAATGGGCCGATATAATGAGGGTCAAATTTACTAAGACGTGGTTCTTTTAACACGTAAACTTGATCATTGGGAGAGAATTCGACTTCTTTAATTTTTCTATCGTACTGTAATTTTGAGCGTTCTTTGCTTTGTTCCAGATTTTTCCTAGCTATTTGACGGATTTCTTCTAATCGTTGTACTAAATTTTGAATGTATGCTGGATAGGTCAGGAGTTCTTCGCGAGTCATGGGAGTGAAAGGATCTCTTGCTAGCTGGCCGAAAACTACTTCGTAGGGCGTGAAATTTGTCGCCTCGTGTGTTGAGGTGTTATACGAGTACGTTGCGAAAGGAAGAAGAATATCCCAGTCATGCTTGTTTTCTATAAAATGTTTTAGATATTCGATGAGTACGTGGTGACTACGCTCAAGGGAACCGTTTGTTTGGGGCCTGTAACCAGAGGTGGTGACGTGTTCGACATTAAATGTTTTGGCTATTCCTTTAAGAACTTGATTAATAAACGACGTGCCGCGATCCGTGAGGATTGCCCGTGGCGCGCCGAACATTGCGATGAAGTAACGCGAGAAGGCGTCTGCTACGGTTTCAGCTCGGATGTCCGGTAATGGAATGGCCATGCAAAATTTTGAGAGTTGGCATTGAAGCGTGAGAATGTGTCTATTTCCACTTCGCGTGAATGGAAGAGGGCCGACAGTGTCTAGTGCTACTTTATCAAAAGGTCTGGCTGGCGTATCCGTAATGAGCATTGGTTCTCGTGTTTTGATCCGTACTAATTTTTGCTCTTGGCAGCTTTTACAGGACCGAATATAGTCTTCCACATCTCGATGCATTCTAGGCCAGTCGAAAAGGTTCCGTATCCGGCGATATGTTTTAGTTACTCCTTTGTGACCCCCTATTAAACTTTCGTGATAGTGGCGGATGATATCTTCTCGGTGGTCCTCTGGCGGTGTTTGTATTTCACCTGTACATATCGTCACGGTGATTGGTTCGTCGTGAAAGGTTTCGGACAATTGTTGTTGTAGCGTTTGAGCGT